CTGGTTTACTAAAATAAACACTAGATAGATAAGCAGACAGACATTGGTATAGAATTTGCCATATTTCTTCCAAATGCAAATTTGGCTTGGCATATATGAATCTGTTTAAAAATCAAATATATTTATAATTTGATTTTTTAGAGACCAAAACATCCCACCACAGGGTTAATTGCCATTGCCTTTGCCTTTGATATATGTACTGAAGTTCACGTGACAGGCTTCAAGTACAACCTGAAGGATCACAGCAGTTCTTTGCACTATTATGGTAATGACACCATGTCTTTGATGATTAAGGTAATGCCCTATTTTCTTTCTTTTATATGTATGTAATGTATTTCCTTTTCACTGGGTTGTATCAGATGTCAGCTTGTAGTAGCAGAAAGCATTTTCTGGGGATCTGATATTGGATATCCACCCCTTCTTTCATACAGTCTTCAAGGCTGTATCTCATATTACAGATCAGCTTTGGATGGGGGGAGGGGCAGCAGTACCTAAAGGAAGTTTAGGAGACAAAACCATTCTGAGCTATCATTGGTCATTACTCAGTGTGATGTTTATTGTTATGTCCATATTAGAGTTAGCATGCCAATAAACTGCTTTATTTAGAATCAACAAATCAAGCTCTGAAAACATAGTTTGAACATAATACAGGTAGTTCTTACTTAACAACCAGTTGCTTAGTGACTGTTCATAGTTATAATGGACCCCGGAAAAGCTAATGGTGATCTGGTTTTGAAGTTCTGCTGTCCCCCCCCATGGTCATGTAAATGTAATTTATAATGTTTTTTCTGGAAAACAGCATTTGTTTTCAGTATGTGGCTGCCCCATAGTGAAAATGGGTTCACTTAACGACCGCAGCATTCACTTAATGCTACAGATCCTGTCAGCCAAAGAACGTTAACTGACGGGGACTAGAAGATGAGCTTTTTCTGCAGCAGCCCCTGCTCTGTGGAACATCCTCCCTTTGGAGATTAGAATGACCCCAACCCTCTTAGCCTTCCATAAAGTTTTAAAGGCCTGGCTGAACTCCCAAGCCGCGGGCGCTACATGTGCCAAGGGCTCTGCTTCCTGGTATGTTGTTAACAAGGCCTGATGTCTTGCTTTGTATGTACTCAAACATTTTCACTTTTTAAAATGTTTTAATGTTTTTTATTGGGTTTTTTTTTGTTTTAAAATGTTTTTAGGATTTTGATTGTAGTGTATATTTCTGACTTGTGAGCCGTCCAGAATCATTTGCTGAGATGGGCGCTATACAAATCAATCAATCAATCAAATAAATAAATAGTGACTGTTGCAAAAAAAAAGTTGCAAAATTGTATCCAGTCATGTGGTGACCTGCTTTATGACTATCATGATTTACGACTGAAATTGCAGTCATAAATCAGGATTAAAACCCTGATTTAAAGTTTTATCTTTTTCTTCTTTTAGTTCTGAGTTTTGTATTTTTCCTTTATTGTTCTTTGCAGAATGAATATCATGACATTGATGCAGAGCAGAGATTTTTGAAGGAGCTTATAAAGCACCAAATTGTTATCAATCTCACAGAAGAACCAAATTAATGAACAATCACTATTTTTTGTAAAAGTGAATGGGGGAATTATTTTTATTTGAATTATTTTTTTAATAAAGTATTTATAGAAATTTGCCAATTTTTTTAAAAAAATTATCTCACATATCTTCTAAGAATGTCTTTGCTATACTATTAGTGTTTTCCCAGAAAGTAACTATCATAGTCATTTACACAAACATGTTAATTTAATTTAGAAGTCAAGATAAAACATTAATATAAAATGTCCCTTCTGTTGAGTTTTAATCATGAATAAAAAAGTGAAGTGCTAAAAAATTTATACACTTGGTCTCCATAACAGGGTGCTGGAAATGCATATAGTTTTTAAATCTTGTTTAAAATGAGACTGCAAACTATGCTGTTTTCAGTAAGGTGATGTGTGCATGGATTAAAGTGATAACTACTGAACAATGCAAAAAATGGCTTATGAGTAAGGCAATTCACTTTCAATAATGGAACAGCAAAACTAAAGCAGTCACTCTGTTCTGAATTTCCTTGAATTAATTAATATGTATTCAAGATGTTGCAATAGATGCTTAAATCAGAGGCATCTACAGGGAGGATTAAAAAAAAGTCATAATGGTGACCATGATTATATGATCAAAATTCCACGAGCCTTTTTTAAATATACAGTGCAATTCTGTGAATGCAAAATATTTTATCCCTCTTCCTGCCTTCTCCCAGTGGATATCCCTCCTTAAAATATGGAATACTGTAGAACAGTGGTAGCGAACCTATGGCACGGGTGCCAGAGGCGGCAGTCAGAGCCCTCTCTGTGGGCACGTGCGCTGTCGCTGGGTTTTATAAAAGCTTTTCGCTTTAGGCCTCTGCCGCCATGTACCAAAAAAAAGGTTCAATCAATCAATCAATTTCAACTTCTCGCGGGGAAAAAAAATATCTTGCAAAGTTGGAGTTGATTGATTGAACTTTTTAGTCCCACCCAGTCTGCTGTTACCACCGCAGCCACACCCACCCAATGGGCCACACTCACCCGGCACCCAGCGATACCTAAGTGGGTTTTGGGTTGCAGTTTGGGCACTCGGTCTCTAAAAGGTTCGCCATCACTGCTGTAGAAGGTTACTCTTGGATCTTGTTCAGAATGTTTTTAAAACTGTTTATTCCAAATGTTTCAGGTTTTTTTACTTTTATTGTATTTTTTGCTCTCAATTTTTACCTGTAAGGTCAGCACTGCACTGTTGTCAAAGACACAGCACAGAGTCAGTAAAAGTAGAATCCCTACAGCAGTCTAGACATTTTTCAGAAACAGTCTTCTTTTGAAAGAATAGCTTAGCTAAGGGATATCAAATTCTTATTTTACTTGCTCATCTTTAAGTGGCAAATATTATGCTTTCATAATATTTTCATCAAAACTATTTGACATTCTTTAGTTTACTAATTCAAATGGTCCAAAGTCCCTTTAAATAAAAGATGATAGTATTCTTCTAGTAGAACAGTCTTCCTAAATCTTTGAGTTTATTTGGATTTTATTTTACCCTATTTTCTCTAAATTAATATTTAGCTCTTTAGAAAACATAATTTCTTAACTTGTTAATTTTGCTTAATGGATGGCTGCAGATGACTTGTGTTTTTGAAGCTTCTTGAGGTAGCTAGTGGGATATGTTCCAAAGATGTTGAGCTACAGTTCTTATAAATATCAAAGAGCAATTTCAGACATTATAGCCCTAAATATTGGAAAACCACTTGGTTGACATACGCAACAATATGGTTTTATGTTTTACAAGTCAATTTCTTTATTTCTACTAAATCATCATTAAATGATTTGAGCATCTTTGGTCTTATGATATAGACACAGGTAAACTGAAGCCAATGTTAAAAAGGCTTTTGGCTGCAAAGTCCTTGATCCTCTCCAGCTATTTCCCTCTTTTGTCCCAATCAAAAGGAAAAATCTTATTTTTAAGCAGCACCAAATTGGAGATAATAACTGTTCCTCTTCTTTTCAAGGCTTTCAAATAGCTTCTTTGTGGCGTGTTTTTAAAGTTCTTTGTTGCCTGGGACTTGGGCAACATTTTTGAAATAGAGTTGCTGCTGAGTAGGTATTCAAGGTCCTTTTAGAAAATTAGTAATCAGGCTTATTTTGAAATATTGATAGCAGAGGAGGGTTTTTTGAAGCATCTCTGCCATGTAAGAATAGGCATGTGTGAAACTTAATGGAGGATGCATAATTTCACTTTGATGGCTGTTGATGAATAAGATTCCCAGCATGTTTGTCCAGAATAAGCTAATGCCAAAATAGGTTCCTTATGCCTAAAGGAATGCATGGAAACTTACTCCAAATATCTTTATTTTACACTGACTTGTGCCTGGCATAGCCTTTACCACTTATGAAATGTGTTAAAAACAATAAATTGTTTCTGATATAGAGGTACTTTGCACATTCATCACATCTATAGACTGTCTTTCCAAAAGTTTCTTGTGCACTTGGCCTACAATTTTGAGGCTTATTTGTATTTTTATTCTGCTTTGTAAATTCCACATGTAGAACACTGTGGTCTCAGGATTGATGCAAAATAAAACTCAATGTTGTTAAGAAAAGGACATTTCAGCTGGTGTATCATGCATCACAAGCAAGACTTGCTGCATTTCCCACTTTTGCATATCCCTTCATGGTTAATTCTGCCTACATTCAAATAGTCCTCTCTTTTCTAGTGCCCCTTGGATTCAGCTACATTCCATATTTTGTATGTTACGTGATCAGCCGTACTTCTATAATCTTGTTTATCATCTCATAGTACTACGTGAAAGGTTAACTTTTGTTATTATCTAGATTAAAAACAAATATTAAAGATTCTGACTTTGACCATTTAAAATTGAATTAAGGATATAGTCTCACTCTTTTTGAAAGTAGTTTCACTTTTTCTTAATTTGTTTTATAATTTAATAGTATATATATGAGACTGGAAACAAACTGTGGAAGATTTACACCCTTGAACTTTTCACTGGCCTGAGTCATATTTTTGCTAATATTGAATTTTTATTATCCTCTGAAATGTTATGATTTAATTTGAAAATTAAAAGTAGTATTATGGCTTTTGTTATATTAAATATTTGCTGTTTGTATTCCCCAAGCCCTTAACTTTCTTAACAGTTAAATAATCATTTCTACTTTCTGAAAATGTTTTCGGAGTAACATGCTATTAAGTGGCTGTTCAGCTTTGTTTTGTTTTTATATCCAAAGGCAAATTTTAAAGCCCATTGTAATTATTTGTGTAAAATAATAGTTTAATGTGAAAGAGACTTATTTTTGTTATAATAAATATGTTAAAATATATGCTTGTGTTTATTGCTTTTTTGAAATACTATGCAGATCAACACAGATGAATTTACACTGTTAATGATGATTCATAAGTTACCCAGTAATGGGCATCCCCCACATGAATACAGTTTTCACACTATGTCAGTACTACACTATCCCACAATAGTACTCCCCAATACAATATTATCTCTACTATAATATCCCAATAATATTCACACTCTACATCCCATAATATATTTCTTGGGTAATTATGAATAAATTACCCCGACTGTTTACAGTTTTATAGTAAAGTGGATTTTGGTAATAATCAAAACAGCTTTGTTTTGAATTACAATTAAAATTAGCATTATAAGATTTTGCAAAAATAAACAGTTTTGTAAAAAGGCCTTTTAAAATGTTTAATAGGATATAACATTAAATGATAATGCTATTTTAATTAAAATAAAGCAATTTCATGATATTTAAAATGTGAGTTTTAAAAATAAACTTGTGATTACTACTTGTGGTAGCGAATTCTATAATTTAATTGCGTATGAGATAAATAATATTTGATCTGAAACCCCAATATACAGTTTCAAGGATCCAATCTTATTCCTGAGAGAAAAATGCATCTTTCAAGCAATTTCACTATCCCATACATAATTTTATTCACTTTTATGAGAATTATTGTTTTGTTTATTGTTTGTGTGTCCCTTATGATGATGGCAGAGACAGGCTGCTGAATGGGTGCTTTATGGAAAGAAGCACATGGTTTTTCTAGGTTTTCTAGCACAACTGATTTGTTATTGATTTGTCACAGCAGATGCAATAACAATTAGCATCCTTTCCTTATTAATTGTTATTGTCTAACATTTTTGACCTGTTTGTGTGTTCTAAATTGAGTAGTATCTGCTGTTTTCTACATGCAGAAACTCCCTTCATGGGGAAATTAACAATTTAAAATACTGTATTTGTTCTCCCCCCCCCCCAGAACTTGCACTGCATTGGGTATGGCCAGGCAGAGTAGTTATGGTCAATTAATACAGCCCTCATCATCCCTACATAATTGCTATTTGTATGTAATATGAGCAATCAAAACTAGTGCAGTCAATAATTGTAGAGGATAATCTGCAGGAGCCACAAGTAACACATTTCAGAAAACTTGATTTATTGTTGTGCATCTCTGGAATAATTGAAATAAAATACTGGAATGTTGTAAAAATTATTTAATGAGACCTTTTGCAATCAGTACAAAAACTTAAATACAAAATTATTTCTTATTTTCATTTTTTATTTCTTCGCCCTAGTAACCTGGCCTAAAGATCTTTAAATTGCCCATTGTTCTCAAATAGTTTGTGCTGTAATGCATTAAGATTTAAATAATGGAAATTCCCCTCATGATTTGTATACATCCCCTATATTAGGATAATCTTTCAATTAAGCATGAAAATTTCACTTAAGATGTAGGAACAATAAGGATTAGTCTATTGGAATGTTTAAAACAAACGTGTTATGCAACACTGAAAAAGCACATGGAAGTTAAATAATTCGTAGATTACTTTTCCTATGAACACCCCTGTCAAGAAAAAATCATAAGCTATCAAAGGAACTAGAAGCCAAATTCATTAATTCCTCAACTCCTATACAGCTAGAAGTAACTTCTTTTCCATAGATGCTTCTACTCACACCAACCATCTGAATGAGGAATAAGTATTTCATCCATGTAGGGCTACTCTAGCTATATGGCTGCCATGAATAAAAGTTAATTTTGTTAGGTATGGCAGAAAGGGAGTCCCTTCTCCCCTTTCAAGC